CCTTGACTAAGGGATAAATCTGGAATTTAGAAAGGGAGAGGGACATTTGTATGTAATTTTTCTTTGCCAAACCATAACCGACCCCACTACCACTTCTCACACACACTGAAAACTGTACTGTTTACAAGAGGTTGTATAATGATTTAGTCAATTATATGATGAAGAAGCGCATTAATTAGTGTATGACATAACATTTGTAAACTATAAAAAGGTATACAAATACATTCTGCCTCCATGTTTTTAAGAAGCATGCAATGGAAGAGACATATATATCTAAGATACACTCGCTCTGTACTCCCAGCAGGTTCATTTTATGTTAGGAAGTATGACTGAGAATGACTACAGGTTGTTGTCGGAGCATCGTGTAGCTTTGATAGACTTCGGGAGATAAGATAGTATTGAGGCATGATTCACATACCAGTTTTGTATATTATGAAGGACTAATTAATACATATCTAAGTGTGTATACAGAAGCTAGGAGGACTAGGCTTTCCTTTAAAGACAGGGTCTACAATGTAATAAGAGTGCTGCAGATAAGAATATTAATTCACCTTAGGAGGACACAGAGACCCTATTTGTAAAAGGCCATTTGTGTATCTGGCAATTAATACGAACAGCCAATGATTTACGACAGAAGTCAGTCATCCTATGAAGCACTGAATTCCAGAAACAACTGAAAGAGGTTTGGAGAAAAATTAGTAGATGCTTGCAGTTTAAAAGACAGAATGAGGGACCAGCAATTGGCATAATGGCTATGTCACTGAACTCCCATGTAGTTGACCATGGTTTGAGTCTCGGACCTGGTGGCTTAAACTCACGCTGGGAACATGTGCGTGCATGCTTAAGATCCCAAGAGGATAATGGAGGAGAAGGGATTGTGATGTGGCCACCCCCTCCTCCCCCCAGGAGGTAATTTCTCACTTTCCCTCTCTCTCTCTTTCTCTCTCTCTCTCTCTCTCTTTCTCTCTCAGTCTAAAAAAAACCCATAGAAAAAAAAAAAAAAAAAAAAAAAAAAAAAATTCGGTTCTACCATTAAGCCCACTCAGGTCAGGAGTATCGGTATCAAGAAAGAGGTCCCAGAACACATTGCCAAGGGGCCTTATAGGGGCCACTGATAGAAATCAAATCCTGGAGACAATAATACAGATAAATCATGGAACAGCAGCTGCTGGTCAATAAGTAATAATCTCAGGGTAAGATGATAATAACTTCATTTTCTTTTACTTAGTCAATAACTACTAAAAGATTGGTGTGACTGGTTTATTGTCTGATTAATTCAATAAGATTAAATTTTTTTTTTTTTTTTGCCATAGGGCCCAAGGGCTTACCAGAGAGAAAGAGACTGTGAGCAGGAAAGTGAAAAATCTCCTCCTCCCAGGAGAGATGGCCATACCACAATCCCTTCTCCTCCATTCTCCTCTTGGGATTTTGGTCATGCACACATGTGCTTAGCATGTTTTAAGTTACCAGGTATGAGACTAGAACCACAGTTGGCCATGTGGGAGTCCAGCATCTTAACCACTATGCCATCTGCTGACCCCTTAACAAGAAATAGTAAGAATGTATTATAGGTCAGCCATAAAGCCTATGGGTTAAGGGAACTAGATCCATAGGGCTGACCCTGCAGTTCAAATCTCAGCATTGCTGGCTTGAAAAATACACCAGGCATCTGTGTATATATACCCAGTACCCGAGCAGGGTGGAGTAATAGTGGAGGGGGCTTGTGGTATGACTGTCTTCCATTTGGGGGTGTTTCCCCTCTCCTTCTTTCTCTCTGGTGAGCACACACACTCTATGGCAATTTAAATAAAATGTATTGTGAGTAGGGCTCTATTCTGGACATGGGCTGTATTTACCTGTGAAGCCGCATGAAAGAAGATTTAAAGCTGTCTGACTATAAAAGTTGCAGTACCTGCTATAACATCAACACACAAATAAAGGAAGGCCCCATCTTTTCTACAGGCCCTGGTACATATCTCTATGACAGCATTACCACACTGTTTCAGTAACTTTTTCTTTACTTTTTATGTCTTTCTAACTGGAACTTTTTAGTAGAACTGGAGTATTTTTGCTCATTTTTTAACCACCCCCATGGACAACACAGATGCTAGCAGAATAACTGAGTAAGAACTATCCCAAATAAGATTACCAGTGGACAATATATCAATATAAAAAAAAATAGTGCATGAGTGAATCATGTATACCTCCAAGTATGTTAATTAACACTTGCCCTTTAAGAAACTAGGTATCACTCCTATCACTCCTATGATATTCTAGTGGTCTAATTCTAGTCTCTTTGTATCTGCCACTATCATATTTTATAGTCAATATTTATAAGTTGGTTTTCACAGTGCTATAAAGAGTAAACCCCCTTGAGGTGGTAAACATGTAAATATTCATTTTTGTAACTCCAGTGTTTATCACAGTCCTTGGCACACAGAAAATCTATGGTGCATTCTTAAAGGAATAAATAAATATGTGGTGAATTTTTCTGAGGTTATTTACTAAAGCAGACAATGCATTCAAAGTAATGGAAAGTGAAATTCCTCTACAAAATGAAAAATATCAATTCATAAGAATTAAATCATATTATATAGCTTATGTTACCGCTTAATTCTAGCTTTGGACCATCTAGTATAAATTCTTTTTTTTTGGAGAGGTTTTTGCCATAGGGCGTGTGCACTTGCCAGACAGACAGAAAGACAGAAAGCGAGAAATCACCCCCCAGGGGGATGGTCACATCGCAACCACTTCTCCTCCATTCTCCTCTTGGTATCTCGGGCATACACGCACACACGCCTGACGTGAGTATTAAGCCACCGGGTCCGGGACACGAACCGCGGTCCACTACATGAGAGTCCAGCAACATAGCCATTATGCTAACTGCTGGTCCCAAATTCTATCACATTATTTTGTAGGAAACCATATTACTTTCTGTTGAGGGGTTGTTTTTAGGCAAAAGTGGCTAATTAGCCTTTGGAATGGCCTGATCACATTTTTACTTAAATAAAAAGACTTCTTTTATTTTTAAACAAAGATTTTTTTTTTTCCTGATTTCTGACTTCCTGGCACCCAGCTGAAATATAAACATAATCAAAAGCTTATTTATTCACCAGTTTTTATCATGTCAATAAAGAATATAATTCACTCAATTGCTAAGTTAAAAAGAAATCTAGAATGTTTTACTCCCCCCCAACTTTCTTTGCTCTTCTGCCAGCTTAACCAAAGAATAGATCCTATAACTCCAACACAGACCCCAAATCTATCAGTTTTTACATGTCACCTCTACCAGTAAGACTTTGCCTTAACTATTGAAGTAATTTCTAAACTGGTCCTATTTCATAGGATATCAAGAGACAACTTTTGAAATTCACTGAAGTTCACCAGTGGTTTCTCCCTGAATTTAAAATAAAAGTCACACTTGGGGCCAGCAGGTGGCAAACTGGTTAAGGTGCTGGATTCTCACATGGCCAACTGTGGTTTGAGCCCCAGACCTGGTAACTTGAAATTCATGCCAGACATTTCTGTGTGTGCATGCCCAAAATCCTGAGAGGGAAATGGAGAAGGAATTATGGCGTGCCCATTCCTTCTCTGAGAGGTGATGTCTCATGTTCTCTCTCACTCTCTCCATCTCTCTCAGGCCAGTGCATGCATACTATGGCAAAAATCTTTAAAAAAAAATGAAAAAGCATAATCTTTACCATGCTCTCAGTGCCCTACTCAATCTGGCCTACACCCCAGTCTTCACCTCCTGGACACCTCTCTTTATCCCATCTTCAGGCCCCGGGCCTTCTTATTGTCACTGGAATATATCATTCTCATTTCTAATCTCAAAGTTGTTATAATTATTATTCTCTCTTGATGGAATAATCTTCTCACAGGTCTCTACCAGGTGAGCACCCATTATAAAGCTCTGTCATCTCTTCCAAGAGGCCTCTTTAAAAGGACATTTCCCATCCTGGTCACTTTCTGTACCATTTCTCGGCTTTAGTTTCCTAGCTGAACTTCCCATTTTCTCAGAGTATTATTTCTTTGCTTGTTAACTCATTTAACATCTGTCACCTGTACTAGAAAGAGTTAAGAACTATTTGTCTTGTTTATTGTCATATGCCCAGCTTCTTGAATGGTAGGTGCTCACTAAATGTTTGTGAAGTCGTTCAAGATTAATTTAATGTGGGAAGTATACTAGTTTAATGACATGTAGACCCTGGTGGTGATTGGTTCTGTGCAATCTTTCAGGTGTATTGAGACTATTAACACATTCCTTGTTGTCTGCTCAGAGGTTACAAGAAAACAAACACAGGGGCAGTCAGTGGCGTGGTGGTTAAGGTACCTCATAGATGAAAGTTTGAGACCTAGACCCTGTGGCTTGAAAAACATGCTGGATGTATCTGTGAGCATGCCCACAATTCCAAAAGGAGAAATAGAGAAACACTGAGAAAGGATTGCATCATAAGCATCCTCCATAGGGATGCTTACTCCTCAGCCCACACCCCACCTCTGTCTCTGGTGAGTACATATGTCCTCTAGCAACATTTTAAAAAAAGAAAGAAAAGGAGAGAAAAGGAAAGGAAAGAAATGAAGAAGGAAGGAAGGAAAGAAGGAAGGAAGGAAGGAAGGGAAGAAAGAAAAGGAAAAAAGGAAGAAAGGAAGGAAGGAAGGAAGGAAGGAAGGAAGGAAGGAAGGAAGGAGAAAGCAAAGCAAAGCAAAGAAAAAAGAAAAGTGTTATTTCAAACAATTTATACTGGAGTAGAATTAGTGTCCTATGAGAAAGGGCATTTAGTTCACCAACAATTTGAGGAAACCTAATTTGTTCCATAAAAATCTATTGAAAAAAAAATCTTTCTTTTAATCTTCTTAGATATATAATCATGTTTATGTTACTCTGGGGTTTTGAGAGATTGGGAGTAAGTCATCTGCAAGGTTTCTATGCCATTACATGTAATATAGTACTCAGGACAATAGTTCATTACTGTAACAAACCTTATTTGTGTACTGACCTTTTTATCCCTCCAAATGTTTGTGCATGTCCTAAGAATTTCCCAAAGTCGATGTGAAACATGTGACCTGACTTGGTCAGCATGATATTATCATTATGACGGTCACAGACTCCCAGGATGAATGTTACCACACACCAGCCTGCGCAGGAGTAGAAAAAGTTCCTCAAGGCCTATTCAGTTGAGAAACAATAAGACAACAATGGCATTAAAAAATGCATTAGCATTAGGACTCAGATGTAATTTGAAAAAGTAAAATGAGAAAAAGCAAGATTATATAACCAAAAATTATTTCTTTATCTCAGTGGAGAATATAGCATAGGTAAATGCTTTATTTTTGATGCTCTATAGAAGAACATGAAGGAATCTGTCCTTTAGCCTAATGACTATTTTCATTGAAATTGGAATGAATAACTCTTTTGTTCAGATGGCACTAATGTTTTTTTTTCAATGTCAAAGAAGAAAGAGCAATATAGTACAATGTTGTCTATTCCAAGAGACATTTAAAATGTCAAATTTTGAAAATTTGAAATTTTGGAATACAGGAAAGACTCTTATGATACCTGTAGCATCTTATGTTTATACTTACAAACGAGTCATACAGCTGATGTCAGAAAGTGTTTTGGTGTAGGATATATTGTGAATGCCTGTGTGTGGAAGCCGATTACCACTAAGTCAATTGCGTTCTCTAATGAACAAGGGTTTCTTTTCAAAAATACTCTTTGTTTTGGAAATGGTCTCTTGGTAATTATCATTTCATCAACCTGGTAGTAAAACTATGATTGATTGGTTGGGTCAATGTGATAGCCTGCCAATGGTCTGGTTGACTTGATAGTGAGGAAAGCTGTCACCGCCCTATAAGCCTGAAGAGCTGAGGTCCAGGTCTCCCAAGTTTCTCAGCAAGTCACTTAGTCTGTCTGTCTAGATTTTCTTCACTTACGAAGTGAAGATGTAAAGTATGGCCTTCACAGAGTGGTTATGAAGAGCAAATATATAGGGAAACACCTCAAACAAAATAACACAGGGAACAAACACCTCAAACACCACCCAAGTACTACATTAAGAGTGCAGAGCATATATACCTCAGATACATATGTCTCTCCTCTTGTCTACTCCTTAAAAACATGAAGGGGAAAAATATTTGTAGAACATTATTTTGATTTATGCAAAATTCAAGTTATAATTTTGTGACTAGTTAAAACATAGATCTCAATATATAATCTCATCAAACTTTCTTTTATTTGGCCTTCCAAAGTCAGTATTTTTACTCCACTCCAATCTTCCAGAAGTAAGGAACAGATCTACTCTTGGGTCTCTTTATCATGTCCCAGGCTAGTGAGGGTAACCAATCATCCCAATTTGTTGAGGTGAGTTCCCTAGAATATGGGGATTTCTGTGCTCAGGACAGTTCTGGACAAATCTAAGGTTGGTCCTATTGCACTTTGTGTGTGTGTGTAGATTAGCCTACAGGTATTTGGGTGGACCAACTGTACCAGTTCATGGCTTAGTAAGGAGAACAAGGCCTGGCTTTCTCTCTGCTTATGTGTGAGTGCTGGCATAGGGCAGAACCTGGGCAAGTGTTTACTGCAGACCGGGTGCCAAAGGGAAGTAAGCTAGGAGAAAAAATGTTTGCAGTTAAATAAAGCAGTATTTTTTATGGTATTTTGACATACACACACACACACACACACACACACACACACACACACACAGTATTCAATAAGTTCATGGAAAATGTGCATTATAAAAAAACTATGCATGGATTTCAAATTATTTTTGCACCAAAATCAATTTGCACTTCAAATTTTCATTTTCCCACAAACCTTTCGAACTTCTCTTGTGCGTGTGTGTATGTGCATATATACTATTTTGTATTCTGTAACCCATGGAGAGAGTGGAAGATGAAAAAGTAGAACATGGCAGAAGAAAGGAGGGATATTTATGGGACCTGGAGATGTTGTTCAAATGTGTGACGGTTACTTAAAGTTTGTAATTTCAAGAGGTGAAATAATCTCTGTGGTGAGATTATTATGAGGGAGGTATCTGAGCAGAGATTCTTTATTAATAGTCAGGAACTTTACATGGAAGGAAAACCAAACACAGAAGTTTTCATCTAGTTAATATACCATTTAAATTGAATCATTACTACTTGGCTGCTGACTGAGTGAATTAGAACTCAAGGAATACTTAATTAACTTTTTCATAAATTAGGATATCTAGTGACTCAGAGCTTATTCTTATTTAAGTACAGTATTTGAAATTAGCTCCAGCAGGACTAACCTTATCATAATCTGCCTTTAAGGGGTTATGCTGACTGAACCACTTCTTGATGGTGTTTTCTTTCAGTGGTCCTGTCAGTCCAAAATGGCGATGGATCTTTGCTAGGGTTACTGCATCAGGTACCATCTGCACCATTCCTGATAGAGAAAAAAGAGATTATGGGCTGGCCTTATAGCTCAGTGGTCAGGAGAACTGGATCCTGTATGGTGGACTGTAGTTCATTCTAACCCCAACTGAAAAATATTCATGTGCCCCAAATCTGAACAAAATAGAGAAATGGAGAAGGGAGTGTGTGTGACTACACTACACTGAGGGGTACTTTCCTTCTCTCTTTTTTTGTCTCTCTCACACACACACATACACACATAAGCATGTATGTTGTTTGGCAATAAAAAAAGTAAATAGTTACTGAAAAAAAAGAGATATGGAAACAATTATTTCCTCACAGGATGAGGGATACTTGGAAAATACAGCTCGACCTAACCAACAACATTATAGTTGTCAGCATTGCTTGGATTACTCTTTTGCTTTTCAAATTTTCTTTCTTGAAGGAGGCCCATCTAGATGACTCTTCTACTAACTCTTCCTAAATTCTCAGACCAATGAAGGTACTTGTGTCTGGATCGGCTATATCAAAAGCAACATTAATATTTTTTTTCTTGAACTATGGCAGAGAGCCAATCTAGAATAGTCTCACAGGAACCTGACCAAGTCAATACAGAAGTGGGTTAATTGTCATATGACGGACACATTCATTTACAGTTTAAGGGAGGACATTTAACCTTGTATAGCAAGTTCTGCCTTAAGTGAAATAAATACAATCTTGAAAATACACATTTCAAATATGTTCAAAAATCAATGTTCAGGTTAACAAAAACTTCACAGTTAAATGCTACATTTCTGGGAGTGAATAGAATAACTCAATAAATATGCAGAGAGCCACTTGCTCCTTCCTTTTCAGTCAACATTAAAGAGAAATTATAATAATAAAACTTTTAAAGGGAGCACATATTGATTGAACTTAAAGAGGACCTTTGCCCCACTCGCCAAATATCCATCCAGGTTTTCTTTTTCCCCATTGTGCTTCTAAGGCTATTGAAATATAAATATTTGCAAACTTTCTGAATTTTATTCTATACAGAATGACAATTTAAACCCAGTACTTAAAACTCTTCAGAGACTAATGTTCACAAAAAAACCTGTAATACATACTTCTGTAAATAAAATCTTTTCAAGAAGTTAAAGTCTGGAGTTTCTGATTTCCACAATCTCAAAAATTGCAAGAGTTATAAATTCAGATGCCCAGACAGACTAGAGATACAAATATGACTATATGAATAAAGATTATTTTTTCCAAAGAGAGATTTTTGCTATAGAGCGTGTGTGTTTGCTGGAGACACAGAGAGAGAAAGTTATAAGCCCCTAGGGTGTATGGCCATGCTGCAATCCCTTCTCCTCCATAATTCTTTCAGGATTCTGGGCATTCACACACATGCATCCAGTGTGAGTTTCCAGCCACTGGGTCTGGGACTCGAACTGTAGTAAGCTATGTGGGAATCGAGTGCCTTAACCACTATACCACCTGCTGGGCTTAAGATGCTTGAGTCTTAAAAACTGAAATTTTAGGTCAGCCAGTGGTTAAGGCAGCTGGATCCCACATGGCTGACTGCATAATTTGAGTACCAGACCCGGCGGCTTAAAAAACACAGTAGGCATGTGTGTATGCATGCCCAAATTCTCAAGATAAGAATGGTGGAGAGGAGATTATGATGTTGCCATCCCCATGAAGGATGCTTTCTCTCTCTCTCATTTTCTCTCTGGCGAGCACATGCACCCTATAGCAAATTTTAATAATTGAATATTTCATGGTATAAGCTTGACAGTATTCCAGTTAAACGACCACGCATATCATGAGGGTGGTAAACAGAACAGTTCTCCGTGCTGAAGCTGGTCCAAAGCAGCTGGTTTGCAGCTTTAATAGCTCTTAATATTCAATAGTCCAGTTTCAGTCATTGAACATCTATAGTTGTGATTCAGAAAGAGACAGCATCCCAGAGACAACTCCTAGGTACATCCTTAATATCATAACTCTTCTCCTTATTCGCTCAACAGTTTTCTGCTCTTACCCAAGCTTTCTCACGTGTATTAACTAACATAGTAGATATAAGGCATTACATTTACAGTTGATAGACAGTTCTTTAAATCCTAAAAAATGTTCTCATTTCTTCTATACCTCCATTGTACTCTTCCTAAAGGAAAATCACCTATTATTAGGTTCCTGACTGCTTTGCTGCCACCTTGCTTCTGACCACAAGTCTCAAATTAGGTCTTCTTAGGTCCTTTAGGTATTATACTACAGTAAAATCAGTTATTTTTTTAGGTTATTTTTTCCTTCAGAGAGTTTTCATTAAATCCCAAGCCAATGGTAATAAATAAGCATTGCAATACTAACTACTCAGCATCTAGCATATAACAATCATGGTGACTAAATTACGTGCATTAATTAAAATCATAAATTCCATTTTATACATGTTAAGCTAATAGTATATACCTTTTAAATATAAAGGGATATTCAAAAATTTCATGAAAAATATATATTATCTCAAAACTATGAATAGATTTCAAAAATCATTTTTGTCCTAAAATAAACCTGTATTCTAATTTTGTTCCTCCATGAGCTTTTTAAAGTACCCTTGTACTTCAACCTAATTGTGCATGCATTGAGTAAGATGTATACTTCCATTCTTTTAGTTCTCCCACTACAGCATTTCTCACATTTTAACATACATGAGAATCACTTAGAGATCTAGTTAAAATGGAAGCTCTGCTTCAGTAGGGCTGGGTGGGGCCTGCCATTCTGTGTTTCTAACAAACTCCCAGGTGATGTCAAATTGCTGGTCCACGGTTCACACTTTAAGGAGCAAAGCTCCTATGGACAAAACTTTCCCAGGGGTATTTTGGAAGGCAGTGGCTTTCAAACAGAGCTCCTTAAAAAATATTTTGGGGTCCAGCAGATGGCATAATGTTTACATTGACTGCGGTTTGACTCCTGGACCCAGCAGCTTAAACTTATGCCAAGCGTGTGTGTGTGTGTGTGTGTGTGTACCCAAGATCCTGACAGGAGAATGGAGAAGGGATTTCGACCTGGTTATCCTTCCTAAGGGGATGATTTCTCACTTCCCATCTCTCGTTCTGTCGAGTTCATGTACCCTCTTTAAAAAAAAAAAAAAATGGAAGCTGTTTACAATCATTGATATTTAAGTCCTTCCTTCAGTGGAAAGTCTGATTCAGTACACCTGAGTGAGGGTAAGTTATTAATAGATCTACTTCTCCAATTCCCCATCCAAGTAATTTTTATATTCATCAAAGTTAAAGAACGGTAGGGAACCAAATCTTAAAAATATTTTTACTTGCTCTGACAATATCTCCTAGAACTTCTAGAACATCATAAACAAAGTAATCAACTGAGTGATAATCAACAATAATGCTGATAACCTTGTAAACTTTGTGAACAGAGTGTACTGTTAAAAATAGTCACTCTAGTTCAATTTAATATTCCTCATCTTACTTTGCACCGTATCTTGAAAGCAGTAGATATTCAGTAAGTCTTGGGACCTGATTACATTTATATAAAACTAACCTCCTAAAGGTGACATTTATTTTAATGATCTTTATTTTCTTCCAAGAGAAGTATTCTGGAAAGTACAATGTGCTCTAAAATCTTACAATTGTAAGAGGTTGTTGGTTTATGGAAGGAAAAGTAAGTTCTTTATCTCATGACATCTGCAACTTTGGGCAAATATATAGCCATTTTTATTGAGCTATGTTATTAATTTTAAAAGATTTAGCCTCAGTCACATTTTATGATTACAAGATTACAACAGAAACGAGTAGATGGAATTGACGAATTCCATTGGGGTCAGTGATTTATGCAATTTCTGAAGGAAAGGTGATCCATGTGACATCAAAAAACTCAACTTGGCTCACAAACTTGATTCTTACTTTTTGGGCATCTGAGAATATGGAAAAATGAGCATACTTATGTGAGAAAAGGGAAAGTAAAACACAAGGTTAACAATCTCATGATAGCAATGATAAAGACTTTCTAAGGAACTCTAGTTTTAGAAAGGATTCAGAAGTAAATTTCATGGCATGAAAGCAGGAGTCCTATTATGAATCTCAAGATAACTGGGTAGTGAGATTTGTAATGCAGTCAAGTTCAAGGTAAGTTAACTAAGAGGTGTTGAGCATCTGAAATCCTGGGCAGGCCCCATAGTACAACAGTTAGGTGTTTTGCGGAGAAAGCTATATGGTCATGGCTGACCAAAGTTCAAGTCCTGGGCCCCAGTGGCTTAGTAAAACACACTTGGAGAACATCCCAAGGATCCCATGGGATGGAGAATTAGAGGAAAAAGGATTGAAGCATGACCAGGCCCCACTGGGGGCGATTTCTCTCTTTTTCTCTCTCTTTCTCATTTTCATGTAGGCATGCTCTTTGACATAAAAAATAAATAGATAGATAGAAAAATAAATAATCCTAAGAAATGATTGGCTGCTGTATGGAGTCTAGTAGTAAGACCTCAGACGCAGAGGAACTACGCAGTGTTAAGTGTGATAAGTTTAAATTGCAGCTGTGCTTGAATTTTTTAATTTTTCAAAGTGAGCTATATTGTCTAGGTTCTCTTTCCAGTTCTATGATTTCACTCTTGTTTATGTACATGAATCTGCTATAATTCATACTACTTAATGAAAGTCTAAGTGGCATTAACCATATTTTTAAAAAAAATATAAAATATTTTAGAATTGGTTTAATCAATTTAGCATGATTAAGTACGACTTTTATGTCTGATGTTTTGATAATAACTTGGAGAGCATTGATGATATTTTCACTAGAAAATGTGCTTAAATGTAATTGTATTTCCACATTTCTTGGTTTTCGTCAAAAAAAAAGAAAAGAGATGAAGTATGTTCAAAGTTTGCATGTGGGCCATCTTTGGTGGTTGATATTGTATCTACTCAAAAGTCTTTCAGAAATTAAATGCAGGAACCAGCCTTATAGTACAGCGGTTAAGCCCTGTAATGGATAGCTGGATTCCATGTGTCCAACTGTGGTTCAAATCTAGGCCCTGGCAGCTTAAAAAAAAATGTCAAGTGCATTCATATATGTGCTCCAAATCCCGATAGGGTGGAGAAATGGAAAAGCAAAGAATTGTAGTATGATCATGCCCCATTGTGGGGTGCTTTCTCTCTCTCTCTTTCTCTCTTTGGCAAGCATAAGTACCCTCCTGCAATTAAAAAAAAATAATTCAGATGCAGGCTAATGTGTTTAGAATTTCCAGACTTTAAGCATTTGAAAACATGTAGATTTTGTGTTAATAGGTACAAACTGTGTTTTTTTGAATGAGTAGGCTTTTTCTATTATTATCTTAGAAAATGAGGGAAAAAACGAGTTATTTATATAAGTAACTCTTTAAGACATACAAAAGAACATCACAGTTAACATTTGGATTGTGAAGATTCTAATTAATATTTAAGAGCATACTGTGCTTTATGTAAATTATTTTGGCTCTTCATTTTTGAAAAAAATTATTTTTAAAAAAGAAAAATGTGTAGTTCTTTAGATTTTTAAATATGAAGTCTAAAAGGAAAGCTGTAGAAAGTTTGGTGTATATCACCAGTGAAATGAGGGATAAATCATGTACATCAGCCCTTGTTCTAATCTATACTGACCTTGGCCTTTTCCTGTGGATAGACATCTATAAATGATCATTTGCATATCCAGGCCCTCCTGCAGCCAAATGTTGTCCATCACTTGAATAATCTGCAGAACAAGCATATCCTGACGAAGATCATCTCCGGCCTGTTAAAAACAAAATGATAGACTCTGAGTTTCTCCTTGAATTTTATATTAAAAGCATTCAAATATGGTATATCTCATTTCTTTTCTTAAAGAAGTTTCCAGGCTGATGCAGGGTAGTTTCAGTTGTTTTATTAGCACTAACATTTCTGATGGAAGGCCAAAGAAAAGGAGAATTTCCCTTTAAATGATTACAGAAGCTTCAGCCATCAAATTAGAAGTATTGCTTAGAATGCAGTTCTCTGATAATAATCTTTTAATTTATCGTCTTGTGGTTTCTTAGATGTGAAGTCTAGTGAAGAGAGACTGGATAAATGTTTATCCAGATTTCAAACTCAGTCAAGAGAGGTCTCTTTTAAGTGAAACATTATTTGTTATGCCATAAATTTATGCACTGATATGAGATTAGAATACCAAGAGCCTTTTGACTAGGAGTATAAATAGCATCATGATTTATCAGACTTTATATTAGTTACATTACATTAGTAATAATAGCTCCTATTATTAATGCAGCTAAAAATTTCCATAGAAAACAGTCTTTGCTAATAATAAGAAATGAGAGGGTCAACACTATGGCCTAGTGTTTAAGGGAGCCAGATCCTAATGAGTGACTGTATCTCAAACCTTGGTTCTGTAGGCTTGAAAAACATGGTAGGCCTGTGTGTGTGCGCATGCCCAGAACCCTGACAGAACGGAACAATGGAGGATAAGGACTGCAGCATGACCATGATCCACTAGAAAGTGTTTTTTTTTTTCTCTCCCTCTCTGTCTGACTCTTTCTGGTGAGCTCATGTGCTCTCTGGCCATTAAAAATATAAGAAGTAGAAATGAGAAATGGGTTATTTTCTAGTGTAGGTGAAGGAAATAGAACATCCCTCAAGGGTAGAAACAGTCCTATGCTTTCCTATAAATAGCTGTTTGGTTTTAAAACACAGTTATACACAGAAAATCCTGCCAGGAGGAGATTTTGTGGTGATATTCCCCTCATCAAAAATACAGTGTCATGGGAACACTAATGCTTGAGGTTATATGGGTCAAAGCGAAAATAAAAAGTATGGACTTGCTAATCATTATCTTCAAAAACAGACAATCAGAATCCACTGAAAATTCACTGTGAGACCTTGATGCACAGCTTAGCTGGATGACTCATTAACTGAATGATTAGCAAATTCTTACATTTTACTATAAGCTCCTCTTGGGCCCTCTTTCCTTCCTGTCCATAGACATGTTACTATCTTTTACTCTATTTTTTCCCATGAGATTCATGGTAAAGACTAAGATGACCAATTTTTGCTCTTTATTTAAAATGAAGAAACTACTCCAAGTAACCAAAATAGCAAGCGCTTCCAGATAAGAATTTTGTGTTTGGCAGGTGGCATGGTGGTTAAAGGTGTTGGACTCCCACATGGCCAACCCAGACCTGGTGGCTTGCTTTCTCACTTTTCTCTCTCTCTGGTCAAGTTAAAATACTACTAATAAATAAAGTTAAATAAAATAATTCCTTTTTAAAAATAATTTTATGTTAAATCATGTCATTTGAGTTCCATCTAATTTTGACTGATTCTTGGTTTCCAAGCCAAAAAAAAGTTCTTATTTTATGGGCTCACCATGAATTTCACTTTCTGTGCTATTTTAAAGTGATCATACACTTTCATTTATTGAAATATATTCTTTTAAGTTTTTTATGGAAGTTTCCCTGATTTTGAGCCAGTAATATTTGATTTATTGTCAATCATAGTAGGGCATGTACTTTAATTCTGTAAAAAGGCAGAATTTAAATAACTAAGACAGCTCTGTATTGTTGCCAGAGGAAAATAGCTACAGATATTTTGTGCATGTGAGTGTGAGTGATAAATTGATAGTTCTGCCTATGGAATCATTCTGATGCTTTAGGAGGCTACTGTACCTTAAAAATAATGCTGATGTTTTCACCCATTGGATTAGCATTGATGAAAGTAATCTTCAGTGGCAAAGCATTAGATGTGAAATATGAACATGCCTATAGGAAGAGAAGAATAGAAAAACTGAACAGAATAAAGTAATAGGAGCCCTTTTCTTAAAATCATGGTTTCTTGCAGAATTTGTTATGTGGGCAAATGTAACACATACAAATAATTTTTACACTTCAGAACAAAGACACATTTATTAAAAAAGAAACACACAAACATTGATTTATCAACCAAAGCTTTTCCTTTGAAACTAAGAAGTCAACTTTTTAGCAGGTTGTCAGTATTCAACTGTTTTTTCCTCACCAAACAATATAGAATTAAACTAAGTAGTGTATAGTATAGTGCTTATGTTAATTGGTTAACATATAAAAATTTAAACCATCGTAAAATAAATTCTTTTCAATTATTTCTGCCCTGAAGCATACTTTCAGGAGACATGAATGTAAAGTTAAGTAAGCCCCAAGTTCAAGTCTGGTCTCTGTGACTTAGCTGTAAGACCTTGACAAATTCCTTAACATGTCTGTATCCCACTGTAAGGTGGAAATAACAGTCCATACCTCACACATTTTTATAATAATATATTAACTAATGAATAGAGCAGTTCTTTCACAGTGCCTAATAACACAAGGACTTTGAAAAATTAATACATTTCTCTCTCATTTTTTGGTTAATGAACGGTTCCTTGTCTTTACAAGTAGCAGAACAATATATATTTTTCTCTCCTCATTTCTTTTTTTTTTTTTTTTTTGAGAGATTTTCACTGTAGGGTGCGTGCGCTCGCCAGACAGGCAGAGAGAGACA